ATTATTATACATCTGTCACCGTAATGCCATTAGTTACAGTGTGTCGTAATTTTGCTGTATTTTTCGGGGTATTTTCATCCTACCATATGAGGAAAATATGAATTCCAAATATGGAATGATTACGCAAGTCCTCTAATAATAAAAACAAACATGGCTGTTACGAAGGTTTGACCGGACTCCACACAAAGAAGTTCGCTGATTCTGTTCTAAACTTTTTGGATTTCAGCATTCCATGATTTGGAAGCAAAAGATGTATAATAATGAGGTTATTACGAGGATACCTCAAAGTATGCACTCAGACAGTACACTGTCGCAGCGACCTCCACTGCCGTCGGTCAATACTCCCGCTGTACTGTCTTCATGCATATATTGAGGTATTCTGGTAATAACCTCATATTATATGATGTAAAAATTCAGTATTTAATTAACATCATAATTCTATTATTAATCTAGACACTGTAGAGATTTGCCATTGATGTATCCCAGTATGTGTTATGCCATGGTTTAAAACTATAAAATACAATTCAAATACACAAGCAGAATTCAGAATGATTTTTTTATACTAAGTAGAAAAGACTGCAACCGATTTTAAAGTTCATGCATTCCATTTCGATCTAATAGCCATGGCTGTAATTTGTTACCATTACACTATAGTGGTACATACACGTAATTATTTTAGCAATAATAATAGATTCCAGAAAATTCGATAATCCCCCGTTCCTTCACAAAGTTCCCGATTATCATCACTTAGAGCAACTTGTACAATAAATGCCGACTGGTGATCTAAAAATAAGATTGCATGTTTTTATTTTATCTTATAAATCTTCATAATTTTTTTTTTGATAAGCAATTGCTCAATTATCTACAAATGGGCCCATTAAACCCATTTAGAAATGAAAAAAACAATTATTACTATGTAATACAATTGTGGACACAGGAAATAGACAAAGACTTATTTTAAATTTGTGTTTAGTATCATGTTCCCTCTCTGAATCGCACTCCCCGGGGTACTCGTATCTTGATGTAGATAGCTGCATTCAGCAATTATCGTAAATCGTACATTTTGAAAAGCCACCCAGCTGTCGATCGGGCCATCAGCAAACAGGATACATTCAAAACTGAATGTGTGATAAATTTTATGTTCTTGGATTTGTTTGATTGGAAATTGTGCATTCATCTATTTTTCTATAAAGTCACTTTTTTAAAAAAAAAAACCCACCGCCTGTCTGCTTGGATGAAATAGGCTCTTCTAGATACAAGACACACTATTTGGTAAATACTAGTCAACATGTTGGTCATCTACCTTTGTTGATTTGTTCCCCTTGAATAAATATTTACTCTAGGCTTGCCTTTCTTCTCAATTGTATTCGCTGCTGTGTGACTGTTATACAATCTATGCCACACTCCCTTTGGGATAATTAAATAACAACCGTAAGTCACTACTGTAACTGGCGTAAACCGAGAGATCCAACTACAGTGAGGAATGCAAACAAACAGTAGATCGCATAGCTGAATGCAATTGAAAGAAGCATTGAATTTCACGAAAATACACGCCTGTTGCTTTTTTCAGTCAACCAACAAAAGTATGTACATTGGAAATATCACATCTGGGTCGGGAAGTGTCTCTTTGCATTATATAAACAGACAGCATGGTTTAAAAAATGCGATCAGCTGGTTCATGCCCCATTGTTTAATTTTATTTTATTTTCTTACTGACAGGTTTATTTCCAAGAAATACACGACATGAATCAATCATTAGCAATAGTGATGTTAGTAATTTCAATTCTTCAGTGCTATGGCAGCTTAGAGGAAGATGATGGTACAATCAAATACACCACAAAAAGCAGGCGTAGAAAAGATCGTTGTGAACCATGCTGTGAACGAGGTGAAATGGGCGTGCAAGGTCCTCCTGGATCTCCTGGAGTTCAAGGAATGGCTGGTTTTCCTGGCAATAATGGGGTACCAGGAATGCCGGGAATGCATGGACTGAAGGGTGAAAAAGGAGAAAAAGCTGAGACCACATGCAGCCAAGGTGATCCAGGTGCACCAGCTAGTAGAATTGTTTCAGCAGGAATGCCTGGACCACCGGGTACACCAGGATTACCCGGTGCAAAAGGTGAGCAAGGTGAGCAAGGACCCAGAGGATATAATGGACTGCCTGGAGCATCAACATCAGCTTCTATCAAATCAGCATTCACTGCAGTTCGTACTTCTGATCTGATTGGTCACACTGATCGTGGCAAAGATATTGAGTTTGACACAGTGATAAGTAACCTTGGTGGGCACTTTGATGAAAAAAGTGGCCGATTCACATGTGCTATTAATGGCACATATTTTTTCATATTTCATGTGGCACATAACCGAGACACCCAGGTATTCCTTGTGAAAAACAATGATCGTAAAGTCTCAGTGCATGGTGATTCTGGTAACACGACCCGGGAGTCATACAGTAACAGTGCTGTACTACAGCTGATTATTGGTGACCAGGTCTGGTTAAAACTGGGAGGAATGCATTCTCTTACCAGCAATACAGAAAGGCTCACTTCATTTTCAGGTTTTTTATTGTTTCCTGACCTTGGAACTGTGTGATAAGGATTTCAATAAAACTTACAAATTTGGAGTATAACAAAGTCACTGACAATTCATGTTATGTTATCTGTTTTAAGAAGAAATGTATATAATGGCCATAAAACAAAATTACCCTGGTAGGTATACAGAAACATACAACCTCCCACATGATGAAAAAGAAAGTTTGTTATGATTTCATCGGTTAACCAATATTTATGATATCATCTGTTTACCAATATTAGCAAATAATTTTTTTGGATTAATCAATATTTATGATTTCTTTTGTTATCCAATATTTCATCAGTTTACCAATATTTATTTTATTGGTTTACTATTAATAATAATAACTTTATTACGCAACTTAACCATCTGTGGGTTTAGTGCGGTAAAAAATGATTACAAAAGACAAATAAAATAAGACACTAAAATTAAAATACACTGAAATTCAACAAAAGAAAGAAATAAAAATTAGAAAATTACTGAAAAATTGATTAAACACCAGCAAGGTTCTCCCAGACCACAGTTACATATTCAACTTATCATAGGTCATGCACGTAGAAAGAAACACACACATAATAATAAGGCCATGCTGGCAGATAAAAACAAGTGTTTTGAAAATCAACCTATTTCTGTGTGTTGTTGCATTCGCATTGTGACATCTAAATCTACTTTGAATTCACCTTATTACCAATTCAATACAGAGGTGTATGTATGCGTACAAGTTTCGAACTGGGTATAATTGATGTAGTTTTTTATGGTGGTTAAGGAACATGCAGCGGATGTACTTTACTTAAACCTTGGTATGGACTTTTTTCTTGTAGGCATTGATTTGCGCAAAACAAAGTTGTTTCTGCGGACTTGTGCACGTTGCATTGCGAATATGTTATCAATGATCTCACTCATAATGAACCCTTATCTGACACATATGTGTCAAGTTCACAGTACTTTTCTTGTTGTTTGTCTGAATGAACTGATTTCATAAATAAGTACTTTATGGCAATAAGTAGAAGTATGAATCTGTTGTTTTTTATTAAAAATAAACTTGCTTCAGCACCTTTTATATGAAATTATTTTCAATTCTTTGCTTAGACTGACTAACATTTCCACATTTGACTCAAGATTAAATATGATCAAATTAAAAATGCTACTTCTGGAATTTAGAAAGGTATGACAAACACAAAATAAATATGATTAACAAATTTTCACTTTTCTTTTAAAATTTTAGGCAAGTTTTGGTTTCGGTGACTGAAAATGACAGAAAAATTACTAAAGTTACAAATCCTGATAAAAACATCTAAATACGTTTTTTGAATTTAAAAATGACATGATGAATGGGCACCATCCCTGTAAATCGCAAATATGTCTCCAAGATATATGACAAATCAAACGATAATATTAACTACTTGCTTTCTAGGTCAAAGTGTTATATCATTTTGATCAAATACTATTTCGTCCAAAAGGTAATATCACAGTAGTTTCACTGTTTCAAATTTCTAGATATCACATTAAGCTACCATTTGGTAAATGGGATTTCATCTACTGTATATATATATATATATATAGCTACCCATAATGCACTTGTGAAATATGAAATATATATATTCAAGAAAATACATTTATAAATTAGCCTAATTTCAAATTTATGTTTATTATTATATTATTATTATAGTATTGTTTATTAATTCAAATGAGTTATCATCTAATGTTTATGTATTATGAAGTAATCTTTTACATATTGGTCATATACAACAATGTTTTTATTTGTACTTTTTACTCATGTTTTCCGTGAAGACTGTAATAGATGTTAAATATAATAGGCACTCGTAATTTTAAGAAAGCTGCTAACTGCACATTTGTGTTGTATCTATAAACCCAACTGTCTGTAGACTATATTTTTATGTACAAATACAGAACAGAATATATGTAATTATTCACAAACAGTATGTGGAGTGGTAACATTGATGGTTTTTTGCTGGATGTATGACTGAAAATGAAAAATGTTCTATATTATAGTTTTAAATTTTATTTGTTTTCATAACACTGTACTTGCTCCATGTGCAAGTAATGTATTGTCCATTATGGCGTAGCTGGTTACCATGATTACGGTATTTCGTGTCACGGTCACTGAAAGTTATCATCAAACTCAGAAATGTAATGAAATAAAAGTCACTTTATAACTACAGTGTATTTTAAATCTGTACCATATGTTGGGTCTACTTGAGAAAAATCTAAGAATTATACTCAACAACTGTGGGAGGCTAGAAGAAGATATTTATCGACAGCAAACCAAAAAACAGTTCATTATATAATCGTAATTTGAATGTAACTAAATAAATATCTTTTATTTGTTTGTTTGTTTGTTAAGCATAATGATTTCTATGTTTTTGCTGACATTGTAGCAATTTGTATTTCATTTTGTTGTGATTCCTTACCTTGTACAGAATTTGTAGCTCAGACATAATTTGTTTTTGAATTTCTGGAGTAATATCTAGTGGAATAACCTGAAAATGTAATAAAACATGGAATATAAACATCAAATAACTATGGAAAGCGTCCTCTGTTGACAACAAAATTCAACGCAAACATGAGGCCAATTTCAATGAAGTCAGATGATCGGTTGTTCTTACATACCGTAAACGCTCTATTAGTTTGACTACCTGATACAATTAATTATTGTTTTGTTTTTTCTAGCAACTCAACCACCTAGCAGTAAACAGTCACATTCCAATGATACCAAATTACCTTTATGTTTCTTATTTTCAAAAATAGACAAAATTACATTTTTGTGGTGGTCGGCCATATTGAATTGAATCACAGGTTCGTGGTATACTACACATGTGCTAAGACCAAACTGAAACAGTCATTGCATTCCAGAGAAACTAACATGGAAAGCAAGATATAAACGTGACAGTCCCCACCTTTGAAAAAGATATACCGGTACATGGCCTTAAATATCATGACAAAATAAAGTTGATAGTATTGTATCAACAGAAAAATTAGATTTATTCCGATGGAATTTTTCCAGTCCACATGTAGGATTGGTTGTGAATGAAGTGCATTCAAATATTAAGAGGAGAAAGCAACACAAGAAATAACCATCATGTCTTGCCTATCTGAAACAGAACAATACAATTTTCTACATACTTTCAACAAAAAATGGTCAAGGCTTGTCCTGGAAATGGTTAAGAAATTAGAAAACAAGCAGCCTATCAGCTGAGATAGCTCCGCTGTTAGAAATGCACATTTCAATTAAAGATATCATCACAAAATGAACAAATCTGAGAGAGGTCCACCCGTAGTACCTTTATGTATAATAATATAAAATTAGTCAAAAATATACTAGTAATTTTTACCAAAAATGACAAAAATATTCATCAAAATTAGAGAATTAGAGATATCATCACGAAATGAACAAATCTAAATTAGGTCTATCTAAAGTACATAAACACCAAGTCAAAAAAGTAAACAGTTGGACGACGGTGATGGACGTCAGCGACACACAATATGATAAGCTAATAAAACATGGTTGCCAGTCGGCCATTTTGAATCAAATCACACAATTAGTGATTTGTAAAAGAACCTAAAAGCTGAATTTACCTTTATTGCCATGACTTCTTTTGACGGCAGATGAAGAGCTCTGAAAAATGAAAACATGTCATTACTAGACCATACATACCATCAAAACTTTATCTGTTGGAAAGTTATGACCTCTGAAAGACTTCTGTAAGTCCCTTCTAAAAATACCTCTATTAAACAAATATCACTAGTGTCTTTGGTTTAACTGTATACAAGACCTTTATAAACTGAGCGCCTCTGCAAACCAAACGTTCTTTGGTTTATAGTATAGACAGGTTTCACTTTAAACACGACCTCTATAAACCGAACACCACAGCATACACAGCCTGTATATAATAATATACCTCCATAAACTGAATACAATTCTCTGTCTCTTTGGACATTTGGTTTAGACAGGTTTCACCATACCGGGTAATACCATTATTTTATGTGACACAAAGATGATTTTATTGACAGATATATGTGGCACTTGATGCTATTGGCCAACCCATACTCTGATCTTTTTATTATATTTCAGCCATAATTTTATGCTGCTAACTCATTGTCTGTTACACCACAGCTCATAAAAGGGAAGACGCAAATCATACCCTGTGGTAATGAATCTGGTCAGAGTGCTCAGTAAAATGGCTGTTTTTGATAATCACAATGCATAGAATACTTTATTTTTCTGTTGTATAAATATATGCAATTATAAATATTTAAAGAAATTTAAATGTTAGTCCCCTCACTGGACTATATTTTAACAAAATTCTCACCAAAAAAAATCAATAAAAAATTTTAAACAGCCATGCGAGTCTTCAAACGAACTCTCACAGGTTTATTGAAATCAAAGCATAAAGGTACAATATGTCCTTCCAAGGCAGGTGTACATAAGATGTTAGCACATAGAAATAACATCTATGATAACGTTTATATTCATAGTGAACAATGAGCAGACCAATTAAATTTCTCATGATTCAATAGTGTAATCCCAGGGATTACAGAGCGGTGCTTTAATGCAAGACACTTACATACATAAATACAGAGAGTCTGTTTATAAACAATCAAAAGGGTGGTTTATTTACCATCACTGTTACGCATAAATGACCTTTATTTTTTTTCTTTGCATATGAATTTCACATATCCTCAAGAACATCTTGATAATTGTGCAAGTAATCATAATAAATTTGTATAATCAGTACTATAAAGTGCCAAAAGAATACTGGATTTCAATAGTGAAACATAGTTTTCCGGATTTCTCACCAGCGATGTTGACTGTATACTATTAGTAACATTTTAATCACCATTGTTTTGGTCATAAGCAAAAGT